TATCTATCTATCTATCTATCTATCTATCTATCTATCTATCTATCTATCATTTTACATCTTGATCACAGCTTCTCTTCCCTCTTCTTCCTCCCAGTACTCTCCTTCTCTCCCCTCCCTACCACCCTTTCCTCCTTTTGTCCTCAGAAAAGGGGAGTCCTCCCATGGATGTAAACCCATGTTGCCATATCAAGTTGCAGTAGGACTAGGTGCATCGTCTCCTACTGAGTCTAGACAAGGCAGACCAGTTAGAAGAAAGGGATCCAAAGGCAGGGAACAGAATCAGAGATAGCCCCTGCTCCTTCTATAAGAGTCCCACATGAAGACCAAGCTGCACAAATGTACAGAGGGCTTAAGACCATCACATACATGCTTTCTGGTTTGTGGTTCAGTCTCTGTAGATCCCTCTGGGCCCCAGTTAGTTGATTCTGTAGGTTTTCTTGTGGTATCCTTGACCTCGCTGGCTCCTTCGATCCTTCCTCCTCCTCTTCCACAAGATTCTTCAAGCTCTGCCTAATGTTTGGCTGTAGGTCTCTGCATCTGTTTCCATCAGCTGCTGGATGAAGCCTCTCAGAAGACAGCTATGCTAGGCACATGTCTGCAAGTATAGCAGTATATCATTAATAGTGTCAGGGATGGGCTCCCTTTCATGGCATGGGTCTTAAGTTGGGCCAGTCACTGGTTGACCATTCCCTCAACTCCTGCTCCATCTTTATCCCTGCACATTTTGTATGCAGGACAAATTATGGGTCGAAGGTTTTATGATTGGCTTGGTGCCCCAATCCCTCCATTGGAAGTCATTTTTCGTTACAGGAGATGGCCATTTCATGTTCCATAGCTCCTATTGCTAAGAGTCTAAGCTAGAGTCACTCTCATAGATTCCTGAGAGTTTCCTCTGTCCTGGGTTTCTAACTTGTCCCAGAGCTGTTCCTCCATTCCAGTTCACTCTCCTTCTGTTTTCCCTACACTTGATCCCTCTGTTCTCCTCCCCACCATATGTCCATTCTATTTCCCCTTCTCAGTGAGATTCAAAAGTCTCCTCTTGGGTCCTGCTTTTCCTCTTAGCTCCTTTGGACCTGTAGAAGGACCTGTTGCATGGTTATCCTGTACTAATATCTGTTTCCAAATGAGTACATACCGTGTATCTTTCTGGACCTGGGTAACCTCACTCAGGATGATCTTTTCTAGTTCCAGCCATTTGCCTAAAAATTTCATGTCATTGTTTTTAATAGTTGAGTAATATTCCATGGTGTAAATGTACCACATTTTCTTTATTCATTTTTAGGTTGAGGGACATCTGGGTTGTTTCCACTTCCTGGGTATTATGAATAAATAAATGTTCTCTGAACACGGTTGAGCAAATGTCCACGTGGTATGGTGGAGCATCTTTTGGGCATATACCCAGGAGTTATATAGCTGGGTCTTGGGGGTAGAACTATTCCCAATTTTCTGAGAAACCACCAAACTGATATCCAACATGGTTGTACAAGTATGCACTCCCACCAGCAATGGAGGAGGGTTCCCCCAGGAGCAAGCTTTTGGATGGATATAAATGGCAGCCAGATGTATCTAGAAGACAAACCATTATTCTATATTTTCAAAATCTTCTCAGAAAGAGGATAGAAGTAATTTGTCACTTATGGGAAGGAGTTTATGCTTATGGGATGCTTGTTAGAAGTGGTGCTGTAGGCCTCAGCTCTGCAGCTATACAGCTTTGCCGAGTTGGTCAGGTTACTGAATTCCTCTGGGCCTTAAGGTTTTAACTCGCAATAGAGGAGTGAGTCAACACAAGCAGAGCCTTCTAGTATTGCGATCCCAAGTGAAAATGGATATAAGTCTGCGCTTTCCTGCAACTTTTAGAAGTGACCCTCTTTCCTTTTTCATAGCCTTTGCTGTAGAGATTTAGGTGGTAATAGGCCAAGAGGATATTTTTAAAAAAAAGAAGGGCAAAGAAATTTTAAGACCCACCAGTTCCATACCAAATATCCATTTGAGGTTGGAACACTGTCTTAGAAAATATTTAAGGTAGCTGTAACAATGATACTACCATAGTATCACAGTGCACTCTTCACCTGCTTCACAGAGTGTTCGAGGAAAGCCACAGCCAGGACAGTTAATGATGCTTCTGTAAGACTCACAAGGTGAAAAGGCCCTGCGAACTCTGCAGACGTGATAGACTGAGTACAAATTATAGATTCCTAGTGAAGGGAATGAAAAGAGAAGGAAATTTAAACTGGCTGAAGACACACAACAGTCTCCACTAGTCTCCTCATGAAGTATCCAGGACGAAGGAGAGTCGGTTGCTTCTGTGGGGTTTCTAAGTCATGTGTCTCTTGAAGAGCCCTCCTCTTTCTTATCTGCTCCTTCTATTCTTTCCTCTGCTGCCTGGCTTGCCACCTCCGTTCTGCCCGAAGACAAGTAGTATTTGGGTTTTGAGAAAACAGCACCAAGAACAAATTCCCAAAGCAGGTGTCAGTGGGAGTTACTGGAGCTAAATAGCTGGGGGCAGAGATTGTTCCTCAATTGCACCTTCTCAAAACTGTTAGGGGAAGACGTGTTCCATTTAGCATACGTGAAATAAACTGAAGCATGCTAAATGTAGGCTGGGAATAGTCTCAGATGGCCAGAAAAGTGACCTTGGGAGTAGTCGGTTGTGCCAGCACTGACTTGAAAGGATCAGCCCTGATCTTTGAAGCAAAGGTGGAAGAGGAGAGTGCACCCTTCTCATTGAAGCACTTGGGGTTAGGCCTGGAGTGTGTCACGGTGTGCCGTTAAGTATTGCTGAGTGCTGCACCTTTTCATGTCAGTAACCAAAGTCCAGCAGCACACTGGCAAAGCTCCATCTCTTCAGCCAGGACCACCTGTTTCCTTTTCCTTTCATTCTGTTTTCACTCACTCCTTTCTTTCAGTTTTCTTTCTTTCTGGTCCAACAGACTAGAACTAGGACCTCATGTGGATAAGTTAGGGCTACATCTCCGGCCCTTCTTTTTCACATGTCCACGTATTCTTCATTCATTCTTCTACCTAGACTTTGCTTTTAACTTATGCCTAAGTGGTCTGTTTTGGTGATATTTGTGTCACTCGGATCATGTATATAAGTATATAGATGTCTGGGTATTCATTTCCGTTATCTGTAGATTAACACGACAAACTTCTGGGACTTGAATCTCTAAATTAAAACATACCTAAGGAACATACAGTTTCATCTCTCAGACCTGATCTGCTTGCATATTGTAGGCTAGATCCTGCCCAACCCATAAATGGCATATTTGGCAAATACAGACATGTAGCTTGCATGGGTACCATGGGACTAAAAAGCATCTCCAATTTAGGCACAAGAGAGGCTATGTATGTGCGGAATGACGTTGGGAAGATTTGCATTCTAGGTACTGCTGGACCATTGCTGGCGTTAGCCTCTTTGCTGCACTGGAGCAGTGGGGAAGGTCATTAGTCTCCACATTAGGCCCAGAACAAGGTGTCTGTTAGCCCTCTCCTTCTGAGTTATCCGTTTCAGAGACCAGCATCGAGAAACTGCACTTGTACCTGCCCTGCCTGTGTAGCTCATGGCCACGTGCTGGATGTGTAACACTGTTCAATTCTGCTCGTTGATTTCTGTTATCTCCCCCAAGGTATTTGGAAACATAAAGTTAGATGAGGAGAGTCACATCAACCGGCACAACAACTTCCGGAGTTTCTTCGGGTCCCTCATGCTGCTTTTCAGGTACCTGGATGAACACCTGCTCAGTCTGAAGACCTCATGGTCTTCGTGGGGAGAAACACCTGGAGGGACAATATTGCCTGGCCTCCGGGTCTCTTAATTCTGCTCTGCTGCTCTTATTCCATTGCTCTTATCCATGCAATGGAATGAGACCATGCCTTAACTGACTTCTCCATGATTTAGAGAGTTTTATCAATATCTTTGACCCAGTATTAATCTGTAAATTTTAGCTTGTCCTCCAGGATTCTGGGAGGGGAGATGCACATAGTTTATAATGGGAACAATGTGAGACCAGAAACCTTGAGTGTTCATGTTTATGTGTGGTCTTGGGGTCCTACTGCTATCACACTACTCTCAGATTAGACCCTCAACAAATGGAGAAGTGGTGGGAAGGGAGGAAGAACAAGAAAGGGGCCTCCTCCCTGGCATTCTTCTTCTCCACATGAAAACACTAAAAGGGTCCCACTGGATTAAGAAGAAAGCCCATAGGTTCTATGTGTGAATGAGAAAGAGTCCCAAGGATAGGATGGGACGTGAAGTTACTTCTTCTAATCAAGATGGATTTTTGTGCCCAGGAGTGCCACGGGGGAGGCCTGGCAGGAGATTATGCTGTCGTGTCTGGGCGAGAAGGGCTGTGAGCCTGACACCACTGCACCCTCAGGGCAGAACGAGAGTGAGCGTTGCGGCACTGACTTGGCCTACGTCTACTTTGTCTCCTTCATCTTCTTCTGCTCCTTCCTGGTGAGCAACAGATTATCCTCTTGGGAGGTGTGCCCGACACTCCCAGTAAACAGAGAGAGGTTCCTGTTGTGTCTGTGCATGTTCTCTGCCTCTCTTTGCTCTCTTGTCCCTGCTCCCTCACATATACACTCACACTCTGAGCTATAGAAGAACTAGGTCATTGCCATTGGGGGCCAAGGTGCTCCTCAGAATCCTTGGAGGGGGGTGACTCCTATTGGCTGACGTCTTTGCTGCTTTGAGGAGAGAATCCATGTGAGCCAGGATAGGGACTGGAATGTAGGAACAGAGCCCAGAGCTTCATGTTGATTCTGGAGCTACCGGGGTAACCCCTGCCTTCCTTATACCTAGTGTAGTTTATTTACTGGATAGGACTTGAACTTATTTGCACGATTTTGTTCTTATTTATGAAAAATGTACCTTGAAAATAGAGGTGTATATGGTGTTAATAAGAAGCAAATAATGATCCCATACACTGTAATTGATGCAACTGTCTCCTGACTGTCGTGCCATTGAATTGGATGGCAGCTGGCAAGCTTCATGGTGTGAAAACACGATTGCTTTGGGTGTTAGTGAATATTAAGTAGTAAATGTAGAACATTCCCACTTAGGGAAGTGGTGAACGGCCTGAAATGCCCTCCTAGTTCCTTCTTTTGGAGAAAGCGTCCAGAAACGCCCTCCCTACACATCAGATCAGCAGTGATATATGGACTAAATGCATAAGGTGCCACCAGATCAATAGGAAGGTCACTGTGGTCTTTCTGGCCTCCCTAAGATCCCTCAGCTCAACTTCACTGCAAATGCCACTAGCTGTACAGAACAATCTGAAAAACCAAAATAATGCTGCTAAACAGTAGCCAGTTCCACAGGCCATGCCTGGAAAAGTAACTTAACTGTCTCCTGCCCAGGCATTTCTCTCTTTAAGGGGACAGAAACATCTGACAATTCAGCTTTCCAGTGACAGCAAGGACCCTGCAGATAGAACGTTATGCTGGGTATTATAAGTTAATGTAAGGAGTGGAGGAGACTTGGGGGGACCCCACCTTTTGGTTATTGCTGTGCTGCCACATAACCTTGGCTAAGACACCTTCTCGAATGGTGTAAGCATGTCTTGAAAGGGCAGAGGGTGAGTGATGGCATTTGCTGTGCAAGCATGAAAGTCTGAATTTGGATTCCCAGCACCCAGGTAAAAAGCTGGGCGTGGCAGCACACTCCCAGTGTCGGGAGGAGCCAGAGGATATTTAGGGCTTGCTGGCCACCAGCCTCGCTGCAGGTTCTGTAAGAAATGCTGTCTCAAAGGAATAAGACAAAGAGTGACAGAGCAAGGCGCTCTGTATCCTGCTCTGACCTCCATGTATATACCATCCATGCACTCACACAAACATGTGCATTTACAGCTTACGCATGCACACGTGAGTACGTACACACGCATACACACCTCACACCTGGCAGCAGTAGTATATGCACAGTGAACTAATACATGCATTGTGACATTCTGTGGGTGTGAAGCATTTTTCAGTGAAATAACACAGAACTGTTTACAAATCTGAAAGCACAGTGTATAATGAAAATAACTGAAAGGACCGTAAGTTTATGCATTCACATCTTCAGCCCATTTTTTTCATTTCAAGTGGCTACTAAAGCCTGGCATTGGCTAGGCACTGGAGTACAGCTTTCAGTAATGACGCAGTCTCTTTGTGGCCTCCAGTAAATAAGAGACCAATATAGAGGGAATTAACGCTTATCAATAAGAACTGGAACAGAACGAGGGGCACATAGACTCTCTATTTTATCAGATATAGTTTAAATATTTAATGATAAATATTTAAAAGAAACCAGAGGTAAAACTGGAAAATTAATTGGAGGCTGTAATGGTACTTTTAGAATTTTGAGATGGAAGGTGCTACATAATTCACATTAATGTCATTTTTAATGAGGCTATATTCAGTCTGAGATGATCTGCCTTCAAGTCTCAGCCCCACAGAAAACTGACTTCATGACCTTGGGCGAGTCACACACTCCTCATCCCAAACCTGCCACTCAGCAGAGATTTCTGATGCCCTTTGAGGTGCCAGGCCATGTGCTGGGAGCTACAAATGCAGTTGTGAATCAGAAGCATTTATTTTCTCAAAGAGCCGACAGTAATTAAAACTTCCTCACAAAGGGTTAGAGAGAGCATGAAAGCAAACAACAGGTGTCAACGCTCACAGCACACTGTGAAAGGCTGCACAGTTTCAAGCAACAGCAATGTTAATAGTTTTCATTAACATTAAATAATGAGTGCCCCCCGAAAGGTTTGTATAGGCTTGCAGAAAACACTCATAAACCAGGCAGTGGTTAAAATAAACTAACTGTGGCTCAAATCTCAGGGACAGACAGGCCTATGCTGGGTTTAGCCATGTGAAATAGCAATTCTCAAACAGCAGCAGCTTAACCAGGAGGATTGCTGCTTTCTCTGCCATGGCCCTAAAGTCTAAAGGAAACTGTCATGCTTGTTATGATGGCCTGACCCTGTATCATCTAAGGAATGTCCTTCACCCTAATGTTAAGAGAAGACAAGCTGTCCTAGCTGTCCTCCAGTCATCCATTTGCATCAGATGCCATGCTAAAGAAGGAACCCTGGCTACTAGGATTAGACATACCCAGCCCCTCCGTGTCACACAGACTACTGCAATTGTGCCCATCCTGTAGACTTTCTCTGTATCCTGTATACTCTGCCTTCATATCTGGCAAGCCCAGCCAGTTAACCTAGGAATCCACAACAGAGATTTTCTATTTTCTCATTTCCACAACCAATTGTTCTATTAGGCAGGAATCTTGAATTTTAAGTGGAAGAGAGCCCAGCTTAGATGCAACCTAAACAAAATGTGGTTTTATGAGTGCCTATCATTGGCATGTCCTCAGGCAAGGCGGGCTTAAGAAAGCCTTGATATGGTGCTCAGATGACATCACCAGAACAAATGTTGACTTTCCTTTTCAGCTTTCTCTATTCATAAATATTGTCCCTCCATGTGAGCTGCTTCCTCAGATACCCACATCTGGTGCCTATCAGTGGCTATATATCAACTTCAGACATTACAGCTTCTCATGTCCAAGGATAACCAAGGTGACTGTGTCTTTTGCCCAATGCCCTTTCATTGACTTTTGTTGAAGCCCCACTCAATGAGTGGGTGAAGCTTAGGTCACAGGATGGTGCCTCCATTGGGCCACAGGAGGAGGGACAGGCAAGGGCAAATACAATACAATCCATGGCACCCCAAAAACCCAACAGAACTGTTTACTGGTCAATTCTTGTACTTGTGAATGGGCTGCCCAGGAGCACAGCATTCTCACCCTAGTCTCCCACTTACTTTCTCCACTATTACCAAGGTTACTTCCAAAGACAAATATCTCGTCTTCTCTTCTGTTTAATTGCCATTAGTAGTTCCTGCTGCCTATAGAGTTGGGCAGAGTGCATGGAATCTTATGTAAGAAGTAGGAAATAATAAGATCTGGAGAGGACAGGAACCCCACAAGGAGAGCAACAGAACCAGAAAATTTGAACACAGGGGTCTTCCCAGAGACTCATCCTCCAACCAAGTACCAGGCATGGAGATGACCTAGAACCCCTGCACAGATGTAGCCCATGGCAGTTCAGTGTCCAAGTGGGTTACACAGTAATGGGAAGAGGGACTGCCTCTGCCATAATCTGATTGGCCTGCTCTTTGATCACCTACCCCTGAGTGGGGAGCATCCTTACCAGGCCACAGAAGATGACAATGCAGCCAGTCCTGATGTGATCTGATAGAGTAAGATCAGAAGGAAGGAGAGGAGGACCTCCCCTATCAGTGGACTTGGGGAGGGGCATGTGTGAAGAAAGGGGAGGGAGGTTAGGATTGGGAGGGAGGGTAAGAGGGTGAGACTTATGGGGGGATACAAAGTGAATAAAGTGTAATTAATAAAATAAAATAAAATAAACCCCCCAAAAACCACACTGTAAAATTTAAAAAAAAAATAAAAAGAATAGTTTAGACTACAGATCCACAGACTCCATGGGCTAATCTGATTTGCCACCTGGTTTTGTCTGGTCTACAAACTATAAATTTTATATTCTTAAACAAGGAAGAAAAAGCAAAACTAATATTTTCATGGAAATTATATGAAATTTAAATTCCAGCAAGCATAAACAAAGCTTCCTTGGAACTCAGCTGTGCTCATTGATATTTCTGATGTCTGTGGCTGTTTTTGGTGGCGAAATACCAGAGATGACTAGCTCAAATGGAGACAGAAGAGCCCACAAAGCATACAAGAATATCTGACCAGTTCGCTGGTCTTGGCTTAGACTGTTGCATGGTGACATGATGCTTCTGTGAGATGGGACTTGGCCCTGGCTATTCTACTCTCCTTACAGACTCCTAGAATGTCCCTGCTCCTACATATCTCTGTGCACATGCATGCTGCCTCCAATACCTAAGGCACTGCCTTCTGTGCTTGTGTGATCTGGTAAATATGACCTGCTCCACTGTGCTTCGGTTCAAGAATCAAACTACTTCTCCATGTTTTTCAGCTGCCAGAAATTGCCTTTGTACACTTTTCTGTTTCCTCTGCCATGTGCTGCTTTTATGGCTGCGATGATTTGCAACCTGTTTTCTCTTTCCAGTATATCACTGTCTTTCTCTCAACACTAGAGAGAGCTTCAAGAGTAGTCATATACCAAGGTCTAGTGAAGGTCCACTGTGCTTTCAGCACTGTGCTATGCATGAGGCTCTCTCTCTCTGGACTAGCACTTTCTTATCTCATGTCCCAGCACTTCAGTCAGTGAGTGTGGTACATCCTGGGTACCAAACCGGCTAAACAAGCATTGGTAAGAGCAAGCCTGTGGGCAGCTTCACACAGTAAGCTTGTTCTTTGGCTCTGAGGCTCTCACAGTACTCTTTGGGGATCTTTTTGTGAAGCGGGGTGAAGGATGGAAGCTGGAGAGGGAATATAGTTTCCTGGCCTTGACTTTCTCTAGCCTCTAGGAGTGTTGAAACAAACCACTATTCCCTCTGCTGCCACAAGAATAATTAAATAAATCAAACAGGTAATGACAGTGGATAAAGTATCGTGCAAATGAGAAGTGGCATAGAATAATGAACTCACAATGCCCACACAATGAAATGTACAATGTGAATAATGAAAATAAGTGGCATTCAGCAAGATCTTTGAGCCTCATCTAACTTAACCTTGAAGCCTGTCAGTCTGTTTCATGAACTCTGCCTTAAGTTTCTGCTAACTCTTCTCCTTGCCCTTCAGATGCTCAATCTGTTCGTGGCTGTCATCATGGACAACTTTGAGTACCTGACTCGAGATTCCTCCATCCTGGGACCTCACCACTTGGATGAGTTTGTCCGTGTCTGGGCAGAATATGACAGAGCAGCATGGTGCGTAGACCTCTTGGTCACCCAGAGATCAGGGACTTCTAGATTGAGTCACTCAAATACTTGCCTGTTATAAAAAGAGAAGGAAACACCACTTGGTTTTAGATCACAGAAGAGGCACTGGTATCAAGCAATTCACCAAAGTCTTCTCTTCCTGGGCTTCCCATACCCCCTTCCTACCCTTCTGTGGAGGGCTGTACCCCTGTTTTCCAATCTCATCATACCCTAGATTGACAACATAACCAGGGGATCTTCCAGCGTCCTCCTTTTCTTGCTATGAGTCACCAGGGGCTGAGATAGGGAATATAGCTGGCCACCGTGGTTAGCAGCATTAGCATTTTTCCTCCTCATTCTTTTCAGCAGATACAGTTGAACAAAACTTCGATATTGTATTTCAGATAATCAAGTAAGTGGTCCTTCCAACAGATGCCCCCTAGACTTGTGGGGTTTTTAAACACATAGACCTGAGTTAAATGGCAGGAGCTGACAGCGCTGACCTCTTTGCTGTCTTTCACTGTCCAGTAGTTCTGATGTGATATGACATCTAGACCTTAGAGCAAGGGTCAGCAAATTACCACCTGTCAGTTAAGTTTGGCTCGCTGCTTTTACGAATAAGGTTTTATAGAGGTACAGTTACAGCCATTCATTTTATCTATTTTATCTATGGCTGTTCTTGCACAATAGAGAAAAATTGTATGACTGTGACAAAAACGGCTCAAATATTTACTATTAAAGTATTGTCAAAAATGTCACTGTTTAAAAAAAAAGTCTTCTGACCCCTGCTTCAGAAACAAAGACAGTGTTTTAGACTCTGCTGTTGAGGTCAGGAAGGCATTTTGAATGAAAAGCTTTGCTGGCCCAGGCCAACTTAGCTTCTGTGTCTTCACTCTCTACCACTCTACCCATTTTGCTCCCCCTCTGAAGATACCCCAGAAAATGCCGTCCTTCACAGGAGTGGACCACGTTGCTTCCACCTGACACTCCCTTCATCATGTCCGATTCTTCCCCAAATCTACCAGGCTGTGAACCTGCTAAATCTGGGTGATCTGTTTTCGGGGTAGATGGGTGAATTTCTTCCAGCGGCTAAGTGACAGATCTTCCTTGCTGGACTCAGTTTCCAACAAAAGGTTTTTAGTACACAGCTAGCAGTGCCTTGGGGGACAAGGCATGGATGCTGATGCTAGGCCTGAATCGTATCAGTTCTCTTGCTTTGAACAAGTCATGAAACCATCTATCAAGTGGTGGTAATGATACCTACCTAGCCTGGAGTGTGTTTCTGAGCATGTTATTATATCAGGCATACTACTATTAGAGTAATTTACAAACATGGTATTTCGTGAATGCAACTCAGAAATAAGGAAAATTGCTATTGGGAAAGTATTCTGGCCTTGATGTTGGATGCCTAGTCAGTCACCTGACTGAAGAAAAACTATCTACTAGCTACCAAAGGATGAAATTGAACACCAAGCCTCACTCAGCCAAACCTGGCTCTTGGAACCAGAGCTTCATTTGGTTTCATTTTGTCTGTGGATCCAAATACCAAGGGCACTAAAGATGCCCCTCCTTCATTACAGTTGCTGGAAAGAAGCTCCAACAGAACAACCATAGGACTCAGTCATATGAACTGAGCAAAAAGACAAAGAGAAACCCCGACTGTTATTTTGAATGTCTAGAGAAGTGCTGCTTTTTCTGGTTGCAATTTAATTGGCCTCCTCAATGGAATAAGGTTGTTGAGAAGAAACCAACAAAAGTACAATGAGTTAGAGTCTTCATAAGACCCTGGTAATAGGTTGTAGAGGACATTAGCCTATGGTCACTTGTAAAACCTCTACTTATTACACTGAAGAAGCAAAAATAAATCCACACATGGTTACCTTCCATCATTTCAAAGGGTGAGAGACAGGGGCATACTGAGGAGCTGTCTAGAAGAAGACAAGATAACTCAGTACCAGGTAAAGGCTAGAAAGAGTGAAGCTGGAGAAACCATGAGCTTTGATATGGCTTCCCAAAAGGATGCTCAGATGGAGACTCTGTGTTCATCGTTTCTATGGGAACCACTGGCATGGTCCAGGGTATATCCAGAATTTCAGCTCCCACTGTGGCTTTCTTGTTCTGGTTTTCTTGTTCTGGTTTCTGACAGGGAAGATGTTTTAAACACTGAGAATTAATCTGGTGTCAATTTTCCCCTTCTTACGAGAAGCCAGAAGTCTCTACAAGGGTCTAGAAGAACAGGTTATCAAAAAAGGTCACAGTGTTCTCAGAATTCACAGGATCAAACTTGGATCCAGAGTTGCAGGAATGGAGCTGTAGGGGAACATTTCTGGGGCGCCCTCCCAGACTGCCTTTTGGATGTGGATCTCAGCAGAGATTTCTGTGGAATGGAGCAGAGTTTACCCAAGCTGAACTCAGGATAATCTGTCACAAAGAGACCCAAAGCCTTTTCAAATTCTCCCATGCAAACTCCATTTCTTGCTAATTAGCCTAGTGGGAAATTTGTCTGTCACAGTCTACAGAAAGATGCTGACTCCCCACTGCCCCTGACAGGTGGTCCTGAGTAACTGCCTGTAATCAGTACGGATGTGAAAACCAAGAGTTCTGTAGTCCACAGGCTGGCAACCTGACATCTGCTCTGGACCGTGTTCAGCGACACGCTGGGCGTCTTTTTGCTCTTAGGCCAGATGTGAGCCACATAGGTATTTCTGAGGGTACCTCGGGCATTAGGTAGTCCCTTTTGATATTACATGGCCTCTGCTTTCCTGAGAAAACTGGGACAGTAGTTCAGCAAGGCGGTAGTTGTCTGGTGCCCATTGTTGTGGTCTGCAGGGAGAAGCAGTCACGTCTCCCCCAGCCTTCTCTGAGTGTTATATTAACCCACCTGTGCTTTCTTTACAGCGGCAGGATCCCATATAAGGATATGTACAGATTAGTGCGGGTGATCTCGCCTCCTCTGGGCCTGGGAGAGAACTGCCCCTACAGGGTGGCTTGCAAGGTTTGCCTCCCAGTCCTCAGCCATGACCCGCAGTGGGACGCAGCATCTGACCCTCTCTGCCTTCCGCTCCACCACCACTGTGCCACATGAGGGAACCTTCATGTTGCTTTCCTTTGAGTTTAAAGAGGCCCCAAACCCTCCCAGAACCAGCAGCTGCTATGTAGGAAGAAGGGCACATTGTATGGTGAAGGCAGAAGAGAGATAAAGATTTAGTCCAAAGGCTACTGTAGTCTCAGTTTTTTCATACAGATATGGGTGTGCATGCACACACACACACCCTGCTTACCATCTACAGCATAGCATGTACATTCTACATTCTCCAGAATGCAGAAATCCTTTAATCAAGCAAAGAGTTCTGATTTCCCTTCTCAGACCTTTGTCTTCATTAAACCACACGAGTCAAAGTGTGAGTCCAGTCCCCCCCCCCCCCCCCGCGCCATGCCTCACCGATCCTGGTACTTTTTTCCACGATCAGCAATAGAACCTGTAGGACAGAGAGGACAAGGGCAATGAGTGGAAGTGGTTTAAAAAGCATGGGCTTGGGCACTAAGAGAATCTCACAGCACAAAGGCTAAGATGACCTCAGCAGACCCTGAAGGACCTTGAGCAGATCATTTAATGCCTTAGGTTCCTGCCAGACACACTTGGAAAGGGTCTGCCATAATTGTCAAGTTCACTACCTCTTGGTTAGACCAACAGGTTCAGAGATGTAAGCTCAAACTCTGCCATACCCCGGATATTCAGTACCCTAGCCGCTCCACCAATCCCAGGACTGCTAGATAAGGAGACTGCTGCGGGTGCTATGGGAGGAGAGCAAAAGCCCTGCTCGGGCATCGGAAGAAGACACAGGCTCAGGGGAAGGTGTCTGCCTAGGTGATGGATGGAGCTGACTTGGGATGGTGGCCCTGAACTCAGGAGGCCGAAACAGCTGCCTCCTGCTGAGACTCTTTAAACTCCACCCTAGTGAAACCTGCAGCCGCATGTGGGAGAGCTGGGGAGGGGAGCATGGCATGCAAGATGCTCTTCTTCCTCCTGGTTTTGTTTCTTCTGTCCCCAGCATGCCATCCGCCGTGGTGCATGCTGGGGAATAAAGAGCACTCTTGTTCACGGAGCCAGGTGGAAGCAACGGGGCCGACTTTCTGACCAGCAACCTCAGCCCACCACTTTCAACGCAAGCCGCCGCCGCCTCCTGCTGCACACACACCGCAGAGGGGGATACACGACGTTCTGCCTGTGGGTTCAGGGCAGGGGACAGGCCTGACTTCCAGGCCAGCATCCCAGCCCCGGTAGGGGCCAGAAATTCCCACCCATGGCTGGAGCACCGTCTATCCGGTTTATACCGCTCATGCACAGCCCTGGGAATTGAGGACATGCTTCTGTTACTTTGGGGGTAGATGGAGTGAATTAAAAAGCCAGGACAGCACTAACCAAGAAGAAGAAATCGAGGACCCCCCCCACACCCGTCAGCACCTTCTGACAGTGTCAGAGGGACCGGGGGTTGTGACTAGCGTTCCCGGGTCTGTGTGGGGCGTGATATAAATCTGCACCAGGACGGAGTCACTTGTATGATTTGCCTTGATTAACAGGTTTCCTATTCTTTTCCTGTTTGTCCATTTTGTTTTGTTTCTCTTCTGTTTCCTGTATTAATTTGTTTTGGCTCTCTGGGAATGCTGTTCCTCTTTCCTACCTGTCTGCATCCCTCCCTCCACCACCTTTTCCTTTCCCCGCCACCCCTCCTGCCCTGCCCATCCCCTATCCCCACGTACCACCCCCATGAGCAGTGGCCGCATCCATTACACTGAGATGTATGAAATGCTGACTCTCATGTCACCACCGCTAGGCCTCGGCAAGAGATGTCCCTCCAAAGTGGCCTATAAGGTAGACAACTCCTTCCTTTGTTCTGGGCTAGAGACCATCAGGAAATGGGATCCAGTTGTGGGGAGGACAGAATATGGGAGGAAGCTGGGTTGGGGGCATGGAGATGGGGAGCAAGGCTTATGGAGTCAGGAAGGTTCATGGAGATGGAGTCATAAAGGAAACGAGATTGGTTCTAGTGCTGTGCTGTTCTCCGTGGACCTTTCACTGTGTTACTGTGTTTCTACACATGTGTGGCTTCTCGTGAGTGGGCTACTGGAAAGATGCTGCTAAGTGGTGTGTTTCCTCTTAAAGGAGGCAGAGTGGTGGCCAGGGGAAACAGGTGGATGGGCAAGAAGGAAGCCTGCAAAAAAAAAGAACTGAGAAGGAAATGGCTTTACTCATATATTTAGGGAAATAATGGAACAATACATAAGAGCTGTTCCAGAAGAAATTTTCAGAAGGAACACTTGTAACGAATTTCTTCCCCCATGATGTAGGGAGGAACAATGGCATAGCTTCCTTCTAAAAACATGAAATATCTTCAATTTCATGAATGGCAGGAATGCAGCTTTCCTCCACCATTGGCCAGCTACCCAGTGCCCTTGAAGAGGGCAACAAGATGTGTTTAGTGTTAGCTTTGCTTTCTGAGCATGACCAAGTGGTGGGTAGAGCAACATTGTCAGCTAAGGGTCTTTAGGATGCTCACAGCTTTGGGGCCAGGAGTTTTCTTCAACCATAACGAATAGTGTTACTCTTAACTCCCTTGTAATGTATAGACTGGCCCAGAACTCTGAAGCTTTTTTTCATTCACCTAAGCACATGTCATAGTAATGTCACCACTTCCACAGAAGTAGGAAAGACGAGACTCAGAAACATAGAAACAACCCTTACACTCTTAATGCATCATGTCTGTAGAGCTGCTTTAGGTGAGATGAGCCAAATGAATATTAGAGAGCATGGCTTGTGAAAAACATGCTGCAACCACTACCAGCCACCACCACCACCACAGTGGTTCTGCCAGAGACTGTTCTACCACTCCCTCCAAACTGTACTGCTCCAGATAGCATCTCACTGGAATGTAGTCTTTAGGAAGCCTCATCCACCCCAGTGCCTGGCTCCTTGTACACAGCAGATGTGATGTTAACTTTTTTTTTTTTATATATCCACAAGAATCACACAGTGGGAGAAGAATTAGACTTTTTGGGATAAGGCTTCATAGAATGAAGTGGCGGGGGGAGTAGGAAGGGAGTTTCACAGAATTCTAAAAGCAAGATACTCTCTGAAAAGTGGATTTGGCCATTTCAGTTGGATATCCCTTCCTCTGGGTGAGGGGAACAGGGCCTGCCCACTCTGCTCCTGCCTGTACCCCCTTCTCTGACTGTGTCTTCCCTGTTTTCTTCATCCTCCTTCCCCTAGAGCCTGTTTGCACTCTCCCACCCCCTTCCCATCCTGCTCCTCTTCATCCCTTGGATAAGTTGGACTTTCTGCATGTTCAATCATGTGCTGGCAAATTCCATCTTTTAAAGACTCAAAAAGGGGGCACCAGGATAAATCTTTCAAGGGAGATAAAACCAGTTTTCTCCCCATCTTTCCATTGAGCTTGGGAGTGTTCGCTGGGACAAGTAGAATTAGCACCCTTCAAACAGGGAGTGGAGCCTCCTCTCAGAGCTGACTCCATTCCCTGAGCCACTTTTCCAGTCCCTTCCCACTTGATGGGAGAGATTTCTAGCATTCCCCATGGGAAAGGGGGTTCTACAGAATTACTACCAACCCCCTTTCCTTGTGATTTGGCATCGTTCCCTAGATAAGACAAAATAGCAGCAAATGAGCTTTGAGTGAGCAGTAGGGAGAACCAGACTGGGATGGGGATGGGGAATCCTTGCCCTTCTTTTTTGTCTGTGCACTTGACCTCCGCGCTTTCCATTCCTTTTTACTTTTAAACCAAGGTGTCTTTCAATATATTTGTTTTTTTTTTTTTTTTTGCCTGCTCTTTCTCTTTTCTCTTTCACACAGAGGTTGGTCCTGATGAATATGCCAGTGGCTGAGGACATGACAGTCCACTTCACCTCCACACTTATGGCTCTGATCCGGACAGCTCTGGACATTAAAATTGCCAAAGGTCAGATTCGTAGGAAAAAGGAGGATGGTGTTAGAACCTATGCAGGCTGCTATAGGATGGAGCCATCTGAACTACTGTCTAGCCATCCATGCATCCAATAATGCAGTGCCTGGTTTTCCTTCTAACCCAGTAACTTTTAAGACTTGCCCTTTCTCTGGTGAAATAAATGACTTGAAATCCCGTGCCTGACATGTCCCACCATTCTAGAAATATTATTTGTTGAGCATAGACATTTTAGTTCTGTAATTTTTCTCATATGGCATCTTTTCTCTACAGTCTCGAAGCTTCTATAGCATGTGCCAACAGAACAGACACTGTAATACTTTGCCCATCACGATTGCTAATTCAGGGGTCTGGGAAACATCTATACAGACCTTTAGCTGGCCTTCTGCCTTTTTAAGAATCAGGTCACCTAGACTGTATAGTTAGGATCGATGGAAAGAATAATGTATATTGATGAGGCAGGACTCTTCCTTACTGCTCTTTTCATTTCCCTCTCTGATGCACTGAGCACCTGGGAGGCTGTTAGAATCAGTGAGGAAGTTGATTTGGGTCTCAGCCTCAGATTGCTGGGGAAGAATAAGCCCGAGTCACTGAAAATAGCAGCCAGGGTGTATTCTGCTTCCTCAGCAGAAATGCTGGTATCGCCAGCTCCACTGTCACTCAGGGCTGAGATTTCCTCTCCTGGGGGGAGGTGCCATACTGGCTCAGCTCCTGCCCCCACCTGCTCCTCAGTCTTCATTATTCTGTATCTGTTCTGATTGGGCTCTTGACAGTTTATCTCATTCTAGGTGGTGCAGACAGACAGCAGCTAGACTCGGAGCTACAAAAAGAGACCCTGGCCATTTGGCCCCACCTGTCCCAGAAGATGCTGGATCTGCTTGTGCCCATGCCCAAAGGTGTGGTGGCTCCTCCTTCTAAGTGTGCTTGCCATTGTGGTACAGCATGCCAAGGCCATGTCTTGTAGAGAAACCTGAGTGATCAAGGAGATAGGGAAGATTACTTTTTTACCATTCGAAAACTAAGTTCCCACTTCTAAAATACTTTTATTCAGAATTAACTGGAAACTGACTTCTTAAGATGGGTCATGGTGGCTGTTCAATAAGCCCTTGTGCATTTGGGAAGATGTGTTGCTACCTAGACATGAGTTTCTGGAGTGGTAGGGGGTGGCACTAATGTATTTCCCACCGTTCGCTGTGGCGGGCACTGACGTCATTGCGGGGATCTATCCACTTTCTGTTGTCAGAGCTTTGAGAAGGGTTAGATGAGTGAGTGACTGAAAGCATGAACCCGCTTTGGAGAGTGGGTATGAAAGACTATGCCCATCTGTATCCTCCTTGCTCATTCCTATGCCCCATGTGTGTTTTCAGCCTCAGACCTGACTGTGGGCAAAATCTATGCAGCAATGATGATTATGGACTACTATAAACAGAGTAAGGTGAAGAAGCAGCGACAGCAGTTGGAAGAGCAGGTGAGGATCACTGATAGCACATTGGAAGGATCATGAGTGAACATGGCTTTCTAGGGCACAGGCTGCGTGTATCCCTGTAAAGGTGGTAAGGGGTTTTGGAGTCCAAGAAATTTCCAGTGCTGTGGGATTAGAAGCCCAGTGAACTGGAAGGTTAAACCAGTCAAACAAGGAATCAGTCATATCTCTTTGCTGCTCAGTGAAGTTGTGTTTTTCTTCTCACAGTCCCCGCAAAGTCATGGGAATTCTTTGTTTCAATACAGAAAAATGCACCCATGTTCCAGCGCATGGAGCCCTCCTCACTGCCTCAGGAGATCATTGCTAATGCCAAAGCCCTGCCTTATCTCCAGCAGGACCCCGTTTCAGGCCTGTAAGTAAAAGCCACAGGGTCCACAGGACTCCTGTTTGCCTTCCGCCACCATTGTGCAGACCCAGAAATCGTACTACTCAGAGCCAGTTACTTCCTCGACTATCTCAACATGGCTCGTCGGTGGGAGCAAGAGACAAGTGAATCCAGCGTGTGTGTAGCACGGCAACCAGCGCCTAAGACAGTAGCTGCAGTGAAGGGCTAGTAGCAGGAGATGCTGGCTCACGTTATAATACACTAGCACCTTAGCTATATAGTGATGTTATGGAGAATTATTATCTCTTACATTTTGGCTGTCTTCTCTCAATGGATCTGGTGTCAACAGGTACTGCAACTGCTGAGCATCATGGGGAAAGAGATGCAACAGTCACTGGAGTCTACCCTGGGGGGGAGGGAGATGATAGGTCCAGCGACACGTATTTGCTTGTTTCACTTGATTCTGCGGTACCCTGGGCATGTATATAGTGATATCACCGCTTTTACAGATGAACAGACAGGGACTATGACAGGGAGGAAACAAAACCTAGATTTTTTTTTTAATCAGTTAGTTCTGATTGCAGGGACTTTCGACTGCATCTTATACTCTTCAGTGACCAAAAAGGACCTTGCAAACAGAAAAAAAAAAAAATCAAAACCTTAATGGAAGAATATCTAACACGTCTGAGGCTTAACTGCAGGTTGGCAGTTAGTCACGAGTGATCTCTTGTACTCATTACGCCATTGTTTTCCTGTCATCACCAAGTGGGGAGTCAGAGAACACATGCTCCTTTACTCACTGGGAAGTTTTGTGGCTGGGTTTAAGCAAGTCCTGCTTATAGAACCAGTAATCACCAAGAGGACAATCTCACTAATGATCAGGATGGCGATAGCCAGAATTTGGAAATGAAACCTCTGTTGGAACACTATTGGGAATTGCTAATTTCTTTCAGACTGTGAAAGAAATTTCTTTCAGACTGTGGTATGAGAGATCTGTTCTTGCAAAGCATTGTTTTTGACATCATAATCTAAGAAATTTAGAAGAGAAGATCATGCCCAGAGTTATTTTTACTAACAATTTGTAGGATCAAAAGGCAGTTATTTTGATGTTCTGGCCCCCAGAAAACAAGTAGATATACATTTTTTTTGCTCTGTGGAGGAGAGAGAGAAGAAGAAAAAAGTATGACTAGAGAAACGGGGTTTCCTTATTGCAAGGCTTCACACTATTTTTTCATGAGTCCTGTACTATTAGTGAAAGATACTTCTTTGCCCTTGACTTTAGATCTCTGTTTTGCCTAGAATGTTTTACATAACTCAACCTACATCACTGGATCATCATTCTGGCTTTTCTCTTCTATGTTTATAGATTCAGTTACTCACTGATTTTACCAATATTTGTTGAGAACAAATTTGACCTAACCATTGGCTCAGCTATTGAAGATATTGTTGAACAGGTCATAGTCCCCAGGAATACAAATCTGGAAAAGGGAAATTGTAACTGTGATATGCTAAATGTAGAAGGATAGGAAATTGTGATGTGCTGGGAAGGTAGCTACTTACCATTTGAGAGCTTGGTGTGAGGTGGTAGGAAGTGTCCTCAAGGAAGTAACACAGAGACCCAAAGGCAAGCTCTTCAAGAGCTGATGATGTGGTAAGTTAAGGCGCCTATGAGCTGTATGGTTAGTTGGAATAGAACACTCAAGAAAAGTAACTGTTGCTAGGTTTGGAGAGCTACACAGTGACCATACTTAGAGGGCATTCTAAGCCATGATAAAGAAGGCAAATTATTGTCTTAAAATAATGGAGCTCTATATTTCAGAGTGACATGATTAGATTTGTGCTTTGCAAAATTCATTTATGAATTCAGCGTAGACTTAATGGATCAGAGGGGAAAATTCTAGAGATGACATCATTAAGTAGCTTGCTGCAGTTACGTAAATTATCAATGGCAGTAGCTTGGACAGTGGTTAAGAGCATTGTCTCCTCTTCCAGAGGACATGAGTTCAATTCCCAGCACCCAAATGGCAGCTCACAAATGTCTGTAACTCCAGTTTCAGGGGGATCTGACACCCTCACACAGACAAATGTGCAGACAAAACACTAACCCACAATGAAATTAAAAATAAATAAATAAAAAGAAGACCCACATGCTTTTAGTTTAAGCCTTTGGGTAGTCAGGCTGGATCTTCAGAACCATCTGTGTTTTGAGAGCCAGGCATTAATTACAGAGATTACTCTGGGGTTACCATGGTGACCATGACAGACAGAGGTCCCTCACCACACACACCAAGTGAGCTTACACACAGGAAAACCAGGCGTTAAATGGGAAAACTGGATGGGAAAGAAGTTCCAGTTTTCAAGTACAACTGTGACAAATTCCAGAAAGAAAAACCGTGGCATGATATGAGGGCATGTAAGAGTTTTGATGGAGATTGAGAATATTTTCTTAAAGAAATAACTTTTGGCATGAAAAGTACAAAGTATGTGGAAAGTATCCTGGCTATTACTACATAGAGCAAACTTAAAACAGCCAATACATTGACTTCTGAGAACAAAGAAAAGAAATGCCACCAGAGGCTGATGAGGTAGGAACAAGAGCAGGGGAGAGGCCACACCCTGTATTTTGAACATTATCTTAAAAAACAAGAACCTCACAAGGTTTTTAAAGTGGGTTATGACTCTGGGTTTAAATTATTTAACACTGTGGTGTTGTTTGGTGATTCTAAGAGTCCTGTCAATATATTTTTTTTTCTGTCTTTCAAACAAAATACCTCAGACTAGTAAATTATAAAGAATAGGATTTGTATTTGGATGATAACGCTGAGTCTTGGGAAGCCCAGAAGCATGATGCCTGTATCTGGTGAGGACCTTTTTTGTTGTGTCACATTGTGTGGGGTGAGACAGAATAGGCTTGCTAACACCCAGATATTTGGAGCTTTTTGTGATAAAGACTGTAATGTGCCATGAGGGTTCTTCCTTCATGACCTCACTGAGTCCTAATTATCTCCCAAATAACAATAACATATAACTTTAGTAATGGAATTTCCAACACAAACTTTTGGGGACCCACTGAAACCATGGAAGGTCTTCTCCACATATTGAAGAGTGAACTGTTCTCTGTAGAACTAATGGGGGCCATGCACTATACTTGCATTGTCCATTTTGTTCCTTTGATTTTCAGGAGAAAGCACATGAATTATTTAATGACAGACATTTGGACAGGTAATTTCAATTTGAAATGATTCTATTGAGTTTGTGAGCTGAGTTTTTCAAACTGGCAGAAAACCATCGGCTGATTCTCTTCTTCCAAACCTTCTCTTTTAGTGCTAGTCTAGTAAGATTGTACCTATAGATTATTTTAAAGTAACTAGCAATCTTTGTCCACTCCTCTAATTTTCTAGGGGATGCAAAGTCCTCATCGGTAGAGTGTTAGGAGAAGAGCCTCCCTGGAAAGGACACTGACACTTGGAAAGACGGTGTTTCATCTTAAAGGCCCACACCTTTACATAGAGTAGAGCTGCACAGCCCTGGCCTCTTTCCCTATAGTCATGACAGCTCTCTCCTAGTCTCGGTTAGGACAATGGAATCTGTTACCGCACTCGTAGTAATGAATGGCTGTCTGTTTCTTCTGAGCAACACCATGGCTATGACTGTACAGGAATAGTTGAGCCAGATTTGCTTGACAGTAATCTATCATGCCTTCCACTTGGGCAGCGCTGTGTGTCCCTACCTCATCACCCTTTAAATCTTCTCCCACACAACAACCAACCCAGGGATCTTTGCTTCTCAACCACCACCTCTGAAGTCATCTTCCAGTTCATTCACCAACAGAGACAGTGAGCAGCACAGAGAAACCCTTTAGTAAATGCTCATGGAATGGAATTGGATTGAGTTGAGTTTAGCCATGGATGCTGGCACTGTAAAACCATTTTACTGAGCGTGGAGATTTTGTGTGTGTGTGTGTGTTTAAGACCATGACTGCTTAATATTTAAACAAGCTGTTCACTGTTTAAACTCTGGCATTTTCCTGCCCAATGGGGAAACCCAACAGAAACAGGCTTACAATCTAGCACTGGTCTCCCATATGGCTGAGTGTGACAAATGATGTCATTTGTCACAGATATGCTGGTCGCCAGCAGAATGATGAATGATTCCAAATGCAGGTTGAAAACACCAGTTTCTATGTTTTCTTACACTTTCTTAAACATCTTCTGTTCTAAGACCAGCCACCTGCAAGTCAATAGATTCATAGATCAGCCAAGAATGCAGGGTGCTACCCTGGTAAGGAGTTCTTCTATGGGAGGGGCCTTGTTAGTGGAAGTTATGGTATGACTTTTTCTGTCTCTTATTACCTCTGAATTTGATATTGTTTTTCAGGAGTGCTCGAAGTGGATACCCTTCAATGAGCCCACTCTCCCCTCAAGAAATATTCCAGTTGGCTTGTATGGACCCAGCTGATGATGGGCAGTTCCAAGAGCAGCAATCTCTGGTGAATGAATGAGTATATGACCTCAGAAGTATTTCCTTGGTTTCCTGATCCCTCTCGCTCTTACTTTAGCCCCTTCTTAACTTCATGTTCACTGAGAATACTCTCCCTTAAGGTTTTACAGTCCCAGAGGGCTCTTTCCTCCTGCAGGACCTTATCTATCTTCAGGCAAAGTCCTTTCAATTTATCCAATTTTTGAGCAAATCTATAAAATCTTGCCAATGAAAGCAAGCTTTAAGTCAGTCTCTTGGAATGAGCGGTATCTGCGACAATGACTTGCTGTCTGCCAAGGCACATGGAAGACTTCATTACTTTTGTTACATGTGGGTTCAAGGCAAAATTCTTCCCTTTGGTTATAATTCTACAAGCCCACATACGTTCCACACACAAACCCCTAAAATAATTTTTCTGAGCCCAAGACAGATTGTAAAATTAGTCTAGATTGTAAAATCTCTGAGAACCCTAATGAGTCAAGTTCAACCTTAGAGAAGAGATCTCCAGTTAAAATTTTTGGCTTTCTTAGTACCAAAGCAAAAATCAATTGCCAAACTAATCAATTTTGCCATTATTCCTAGTTTGGGAGCCATGGGTTCCAAGTTCCCTCCCAGGCTTAATTGGATTGAATAGAGAAAGATAAAAATGTCTGTACAACCAGCCAGCATTAAGTGAGCTGAGTATGTTCATTGGTGGCTTTTTTTCCTTCTTCTTCTTCTTTGTCTCATTAACCCTTCTTTCGACTACTATATATCACAGAGTCATGCCAAATGGATTGATTGTGTGTGTGTGTGTGTCTCAGCCCTTTATGCCTTGCCAACCTCGTTGATAGGTGTGGTGGGAAAAATAAATCTCAACAATATGTCTTTTTCCCCCCCAGGGACGCTTTACTACCTCATCATTTCTGTGGGTTTCCCCCAGGCTGAGCTGTGGTCCCAGAACTTTTTTGGATTTGTGTTCATCTTGTCAGTGCCGGTGTCTGTAGTTTAACTCGGGTGTCAGCCATGCAGCACAGTCCCCACTGTGCACTTCTGCCCATCCCTCTGGGTCCCTGCTCCATGTCCTGAGGCGTGGCCATCCTCTGTGTGTGTGCATATGGAGTGTGTCTCGCACCACCTCCGACACCTGTAGACTCCAATGTCATTACTGCATCTGTTTGAAGTTGGAACTGTGTGCCACATTATTTATTGCACGCACAACAAATGCTGTGGCTTCCTCAAGTGCAACCACACACCCTGGGAAGGCCCTCTTCCCAGGCACACCAGCAGCCATAAGTCATCCCAGGTTCCCCTTTCTTTGAGCACCGACCTACTCATGCACCCATGTTTCAGGGTATAAACACCCAAGTACAAAATGACATTTTTTTTCCTAGAATAATTTCCAGGTATCAAAGATGGTCTTTGATCTCTGTGTGGCTCATGTAAGCACTTCCAAATTACATACAGTGACATAAGTTACCTTCATGGTAAACTCACATTCTTTAACTTAGGAAAATGACAAAGGAGTTAGACAGAAAATTAACATTTTTCCTATATCCATCCTTGTAACACTTTGGAGGAGCAAATTTTAAGACAGTAGCATCAGACACATATGATTGTGAACAACCAGAATGTTATGAGTCCAAATAAATTGTAATAATTATTAAAATGAGGTATTTTACATGTTGATGTGATAATATTTAGATATATTAAGTTAAGTAAAATGTGTAGTTAAATTCTTTATTAATCATATATCTAATCAGAAAGGTGGTTTGCATTATATTTCTATTGGACTGATCTAGTTAGTAGATATCTGACAGATGGTTATCCACTATGTTTCTGGATGGCTTTAATTATAACACTCTTACCTAATAAATTCATAACATAACTGATAATTAGAAACTTACTTTCACATCCTTGTTTTTATTTAACTGATAAAATGATTCCTCAAAGAATAAACACAGTAATAACACCTATCAGAAAATGTGCTCCACTTACGTAAAGTATCCAGCGAGCATAAATGTTTGTTTGATGAAGCTATAAAAGCTGAAAAATTGTTTCAGTGATGGCTTCACCCTGGTTAGAGGCTTCTGTTTGAGCTATCTGGTATCACATATATAAAATTAAGCATGCACATACATACATACATACATACATACATACATACACCTAGAGCCTTGTAAATATCCATCTCCCTTCTAAAAGCCATTCTTACTACGGGCACTGAACCATCCACTGGAGGAGAGAGGCAACCAGATGGAAAACCAGGTCCCACAAGCTTGGCTGTGTGTTTATTTCTAGGAGCCAGAGGTTAGTGAATTAAAAAGTGTGCAGTCCTCTAACCATGGCATCTACCTTCCTCCGGACACCCAGGAGCATGCGGGATCAGGGAGGGCGTCCTCTATGCCACGTCTGACTATGGAGCCCCAGGTAAAACTCAAACACCACGTACCTTGTGCAGTGGCATTCCAGGCTTTCTTGTGGGTTAGGAAATACCTGATATTTTCAGGTAAGCTCTGAACTTTCCCTTACCCCTTACCTACACACGAAACCTGGCTCATGGACGATCTCTGACATAGTTTTCTCTAGACTGTGTTTTTAATAAATCTCTGCCTTCAAACGTCTCATCAACAAGATAGTAAATCTTCCCCTGCACTGGGCTGAGCACTCTCAGGACCCAACCAGCCAAGCAACCAGCATTTTTCTCTATGTATTTTCTTGTCCTTTTTTTTTCTTTTCCCAGCCCTTCCAGCACATGAGTTCTTTGTACCCACCACTCTGTGTCAGGCCTGTCTTATCCAGTGCAGGCCACGCCTCATTTCTTTGTCTGTTTTCTTGGCTTTGTCTGTCTTGCATCAAGTTTTGACAGAGACAAGAAGTTTTTGTGGATCTGTTCTGACACCTGTGGCAATCCAAACCAGAAGAGTTTAGGAGAACAGGGGGCTAATGTGGGGGCGATGGCAGGAGGGTGGTACTTTCTCAGTGGTTAAGTTGCAAACTTCCTGAAGCTGGAGGCTCTAGATCAGAGCTTTATCTGATGAGTTAAAAAAAAAAATGAAAAAGAAAACTATGCTTCTCTCAAAACATAGCCTTTTGGAAAATTGCTGTCACCTATTTCAAAGTGACTCACAGTTTGTAGCAGGTCCTGACTGAGACGCTGTGGTAGGTAGTTCTATGAGACATTTGGACAGTGCCCGTCCACATTCTGCAAAGAAAGTAAACTCATCTGGTTTTATTCACGAGAGTAAGGAAACAACCCAGGGATGATTAGCTTGCATAGGATACCTTTTCCCGATTAGCCTCTGTAGCCAAGGTTCTTGCAAGGGGTCTTTATGGTAGGTGACAACATCCAAGGGTTATAGCTCACAATTCCCAAGAGTTTCAGCCCCACATCTGGATTTTCACACCCTTTCAAGAATTAACCTAGACTTTGTGTTCCTCTGGGGGTTTTATTTTTCTTTCTAGGTGGTAACAGACCCTAGCTCTATGCGACGCTCATTTTCTACAATTCGGGACAAGCGTTCAAACTCCTCCTGGCTGGAGGAGTTCTCCATGGAACGTAGCAGTGAAAACACCTACAAGTCCCGGCGCAGAAGTTACCACTCTTCCCTGAGGCTGTCAGCCCACCGCCTGAATTCTGACTCTGGTGAGAGGGTTGTCTTTAGCATCTGTCTCTTTTTGTTTTGGCAATGGGTGGACCTAGTTTTGTGCAAGCACCAGAAATGACTGGAACATGATTTTGATAAGAAAGTGAAGGGAGGGCTGGATACATGGCTCTTGCATAAAGAGCTTTCTGTGTAACTATGAGGAGAAATGCTCACGTCCCTAGAACTTACATAAAACAGGGGCACGGGAGTACCTATCTGTAATCCCAGTGACAAGCTGGATCCTGCTATTATGGTATTTGCAGCTGTTATCACTAAAGAGACACTGTTTCAAATATGGCGATGCAATAAGACCAAGTCTTCTGGCCTCCACGGGCACACACCTGTGCCCCTCCCACACCTACACAACCTGAAGGATGAATGCTCTGCATCAGAGTGCATTGCTTTCTCTGAGTTATCCTCCTGAAACTGACCCCAAGCCCCATCTGTTCATCACTAACGCCAACACCATTAATAAAGGTTTTCAATCAACTTTTTACAAAACTACTGCGATTCCATGGGAATGTAGTGGCAGCCACCCCGAGCCCCATGGAAGGACCTGAGCCCTACCACCAGTTGGACCCACAGTGGTACCTGGAATTGTTTTGCGGACTGGGGTTCATTTGAAGCCTCTCTTGTGTGCATCACTGATCTTTAAAATGTTAAACATCATTAATCTCATTCTGCCTACTTTCCTGGGTGCAGAAATCAAAGTGGAAAACCAGTGATCTTCCTCACATTGAGAGCCAGTCAATGGCAGCATTCAGACTAGAATGGAGATCAATGGAGTCCAGAGTTCTCACCCTAACACATTCGACGTGCCAGCTTTTCATTTATAGAACCTTTTAAATTCACTTCCTGGTGCCACCTTCTCATAATCCATGTGCAAGGCACAGGTCATTCCTGGGGAGTGTTGTTATCCCTGGCAGAGACACAGCTTACTGTATTTGGCATAAAAGGAAGCAAAGGAAACAGATTCCACTCATTGATGCATGTCTTTTCAGTGGTACCTTGCAGACTTATTCTCTCACAAAGAAAGGAAAATTTCTGCCTTTTCTCCCCTGTTTCCTTTTTAAGTAGTCTGTTGGTCTGTCTGGAGAAGCCAAGACACTTACAGTCGGTTCAGGAGGCCATGAAACATAAGGTCAAGGTGACAGCATTGTCAGGTGGCTCTCTTCTCATCATGTCATCACAGGGACATGATGCAGGGACATAGCAGGGACAGCAAGCCAACTGTCTCTGCGGTACTTACTGCATAATAAGAGCCCTGGTTTCCTGAACTGGTTACCTATCAAAGGCTGTTCATCCAGTCGCCATTCCATTTGGAGGGTAGGATTCAATACTGAATTTCTGAATGGATACAATCAGTCCATAGGGGCTCAACCCCTGGTTGGGATAGAATTTGCAGCTTGGAGTTCAGTGTCATCAAGCCAGAATGAGCTGAGTATTAATAACTAGTTGGTTTCGTCACCTCTCACAGGCCACAAGTCTGACACTCACCGCTCAGGAGGCAGGGAGAGAGGCCGATCCAAAGAACGAAAGCATCTTCTCTCTCCCGATGTCTCCCGCTGCAATTCGGAGGAGCGAGGGAACCAGGCTGACTGGGAGTCCCCAGAGCGTCGCCAGTCCAGGTCACCCAGCGAGGGAAGGTCACAGACCCCCAACAGACAGGTGAACATGGAGAACTTGAGCCTCTAGCAGGTCAGGGAAGGGAGCGGGCTGCACGAGGTGGGCTTTTCATGGCCTCCCGTCAGCCTCTGGGAACTCAGAGCCAGTGGTCTCAAGAAATTACTGCTGTACACAGAGGCTGGCTGTTCTGTGCCTGCAGATTCAGGGGTGATAGGAACTCACAAGAAGTGAGATTTCTCCCCCAAGAAAGACAATATCTGGAAGTCAGTCCATGCCTGTCCTCAGAATCCTGATATGCAAACTCAGCTAGGCTTAGGAAGTAAAGGCGGCCCTTCAGCCAAAAAGGCTCGTCTCTGGTGTGATTCTTCCTGTTAACTGCAACGATTCATCTCTCAAGCCAGGAACTGCAAGCCAGGCAGCTAGCTCAACTTTGCTTCCCAACTGTGCAGCCTTCTCGGGAGAAGGGACATATCTTGCCTCCTTGTCTTTTGCTAAGTTCCCAGGCTATGCCTAAGAAATATCAGCTGTTACAGTATTCTTGGCCTTGCCCCTCTCTCCCAGCTCTTACCAAAGTTCCTGGAGTCCAGAGGGGAGACTCATTTGGTTGGAAATGGTTGGCCAGGAACAGGAGAGCTGCTGAAGCAATTCCGAGACACAGCAGTAGAGATATTTGCCCAGGGAACAGCGATTTACAAACCGTACTGCAGAAAAGAACCAGCCCTGGAGTTTGCTAGCACAGCAAATTCCTGGGACTTTTTTGAGGAATCTGATGAGACTTGCTTAAAAGTCAAACCCAGAATTCTATACCCAGAAAATTCTCACAGCTACCTCATCGGTTTCCTACACCCTAAGACACCAGTGCTGGGATCCCTATGCCAACACCCAGGCTTAGGTACTATTGGAAATGGGCAAGGAAGGTGGATAAGGCCCAAGACAATAGACGGGCAGGTTGGGTGCAGAATCCAAGGGCAGCAAGCTACTGCTGACAGAGAGGCAAGAGCAAAGAGAGGGAAGGGGAATTTGGTTTTTTCCTACAATATGCTTTCCGAAACAGTCTCCTAGGTGGTAATTTAGAGCACTTGTTCACCTTTCAGGGAGCTGTTTTGCCTAGAACGTTAAGGTATTCCTGTATGCCCTTGTTATGTACAGTTTCCATTTCCCGGCTAGCCGTCTGGGTGTTCTGTGGTCCCAGCTGTGAGTAAGTTAGAGCGAATGCCCAGGTCTACCCCCAGCCCTTCCCTGCTAAACCCACATCATTAGTTGAACTTGATTTCCAAAGATTTGTCTGCACCACAGAGGCTGAGATGCTCTGTCAGGATGGCATCTAATTCTCAGGGACTTGATCCCTGAGCCCTTGAAGGGTCTGAGTAGTACAGGGCACTCCTCAGGCTACTCTAGACTCAAAAAAGCTTTCCTCGTGAGGGGTTGGGACCTCAAGGGCCCCCCCCCCAAGGTGGAGGTGCCACCATGCCTAATCTAACCCGTCACATTTCTCCTGTGACGCAGGGTACCGGTTCCCTGAGTGAGAGCTCCATCCCCTCTATATCCGACACCAGCACCCCAAGACGAAGTCGTCGCCAGCTTCCACCTGTGCCACCAAAGCCTCGGCCCCTCCTCTCCTACAGCTCCCTGATGAGACACACTGGAGGCATCTCTCCACCTCCTGACGGAAGTGAGGGTGGATCCCCACTGGCCTCTCAAGTTCTGGAGAGCAACAGCGCTTGTCTGACCGAGTCTTCCAACTCCTTGCACCCCCAGCAGGGCCAGCACCCTTCCCCACAGCACTACATCTCCGAGCCCTATCTGGCCCTCCATGAAGACTCCCACGCCTCAGACTGTGGCGAGGAGGAGACACTCACCTTTGAGGCAGCCGTGGCTACAAGCTTGGGCCGGTCCAACACCATTGGCTCTGCCCCACCCCTGCGGCACAGCTGGCAGATGCCTAATGGGCACTATCGGCGGCGGAGGCGTGGGGGGCCTGGGCCTGGCATGATGTGTGGAGCTGTCAGTGACCTCCTGAGTGACACGGAAGAAGATGATAAGTGCTAGAGGTTGCCATCCCCTCCGATGCATGCTCTTCTCTCACAGGGAGAAAACCAAGACCAAATTGGGAAAGCCAGTGCGGCCCGGGGGGGAGGAAGAGGGAGAAGGAAGATGGAGAAAGGACGCCATGCATCCTCGAAGAAGAGGAAGTAAAAGACAGATGGAAAACCAGTCAAACCCACCAATTTGCGTCATTTCCCTTTGCAAGATGGGCACTGCCATAGTCCTGCCTCTTTGCTGGGGAAAGAAAATACAGGAATGTGGGGGGTTATTCCCATGGGAGAAGGGACATGAAGGTGGCTTGGTTTCCCTTGCCCCTTCCCACTTTTCTATAAGCTGCAGCAGGATCTAGCTGACCTGTCTAAGCTCATTGCCCTGAGCAGCTGGGAAGACTTCCCAGCATCTTAAATGAGGGAAGAGGGGAAACAGTAGGAGAAGAATTTCCTCACCAGCTCTTGGTTTTGGCTGCCCCCAGGGCAACCACAGCAGTATCTCATGCATTATCTCGGGGCTTGCTTCCCCTCCAAAGAGACACACACTGAGTCAGAAGCACTGGATGCTGATGGGAGAAGGGAGAGAGGGAGGGAGGGAGGAAAGGAGGGAGAGAAGGGCCGGAGGGGAAGGGCCCAAGGTGCTGTAGCAACAGCAGCAAGGGCTGGTCTGGGTGAGAAAAGCCATAGCCCAGCAGCCCATACCGTGAAGGTGAGGGCCAGAGAAACAGAACTGGAGGTGCTGGTGGGTTCAGTCCTAGGCTCTGAGGTCTGTCGCCCACACAGTAGGTGCTGTGGTAGGTAGGCCAGACAATGAGGTTCCCCAGGGCCCACAAAGGTGCCTGTAGCTCTGGTAAGGGTAATAGTAACTCCAATAACCAAGGCACCAACCCCAGTAGGGTTCAGCCACAGTATGGGAACCCTGTGTAGTTCTCAACCTTGGCCCTTTAGATACTAGTCAGAGGAAACCCCCAACAGTAAGGGCAAGGGGGAGGGGGATACCTAAAGGATTCTAGGCCGACTCCGTTTTCCAACAAGCATAAGAAGAACTCAGTGTTGGTGACAGGGCTGTGACCACAGTGGGCTGGAGGCAGCAGGCCTCTGTCTAACAGCAAGGCTAGTGCTAAGCCAAGCCCAGAATGGTCAAGTATTAGCAGCTAAGTGTTCTCTGGCACTTCCCCAAATGGACAGGGAGCACAAATCCCAAGGGGGTCACCATGTAGTGACTTCTCTAAAGATGAGGAACACTGGTAGGCCAAAAAAAGAGAATGTTCCTTCCCTGAGGGTGTCAGCCTGAGGATCCCTTGCAAGGGGAAGCCCTTGGGCTGGAAGCTTGTGCAGCTGGTTTGGGGCTTGAGGAGTCAGTTGATGATAAGGATGCTTTAAGGTAATTAGTAACTATACCTCAGTTTTTACCTGGGCTGCTGCTTTTAGTAAAATAGGCACTGATGGGGTCCCCCCACTTCCTTTGAGTATTCCCTGGGCCAGGCCTGGGCTTCATCTCTGCTCAGGGTAAAAGATGGGTAGAAGGCAGCCTCAGGCCACTAAGTCATTCCTAATCCCCCCAAACAGAAGCATTGAGGGAAAATAGGACCCTTCCTCAGCCACCTCCATCATTAGTAATGCGGGAAAGAGCTCCATTCTGCAGAGAGCACCAGCCTCTCTCTAGTATCATCAGAGTGGGTGAACAGATGCCTTCACATGGGAACTGCCCTGTCTAGCCTTGAGGACATTACACTGAAAGCTCAGTGGAGTGATTCTTTATCCTGTTCTGGGCTAGGCAGAGACCTGTGTGACTCTTGTGTAGGGTCAGTCCCTTTTCTCAGAAGGAACTTCTCTTCTTGTGATGTTTCCTTTCTATTCTTCTGTCTCATTCTTTCAAACCCTGGGCTGGCCCAGAACTGAGGCACAGCAGCAGCTCTGAAGAGTCAAGTTCACCCATGTGGCCGTGGCCATTTGCCACAATCCCGCCTTCTCATTTGAGTATCGATGGAGCTGTATGAACCATGGTCCGCCCCAAACCAAAGTTGCCCCAGGACAGGTGACCAATGAGGCTGGCATAAGGCCTGCCAACTCTCAGACCCTCCTCCGTCTTCATTGACCTCTCCCACTCAGCACGTGTGCGCTCAGGGGCAGCTGATGATATGCGCATGAGTCTAACAAATGTGATGGTTACATAAGACTGATGCTGGGCCTTGTGTTGTTTTTTAAGGCTTTCTCTGCTCAGCCTCATTTCATGCCAAAGTGCTGCTATGGACCTCTTTGTGTGCAAAATTGCTTCCTTCTACCTTGGACATGCAGCTTTCCTTGGGGGAAAGCCTGCCACAGGATGACCATTCTGAGCCAGCAAGCCTGTTGGGTGATTTTTTTGAGAAAGTCAATTGCAGAGATATGTCATTGCCATTGTCTCCCAGTAGTGGGAGAATTGTGGGCTGGCAGCATAATGGCCAGACATGGAATTTGCCTAAAAGAATAGTATCACTAAATTTACTATGCCTGAAATCTTCCTACACTCATGGAACTCCTTGAAAAAGCACTCAGGCACATACACACAGTAAAGCATTGTAAAATTATAAAGTGTTGTCGAGTGGTCACTTAGTTGACCACCTGGTTTTTTTTTTTTTTTTCCTAGCACTGGTGAAATTATAAACATAATTCTTTATTCAACTTCCTCTAGTTTTCCCTTGGGGCAACCCTTACCCTTCATTAAGACCAGAACATAAAAGAATTTTTGTTATGTTACAAACACACCATTATCATAATCTCTGGTTTCCTACTGTCTCCTGATAAACCAAAATGCCAGCCTTCTTCCTTGGAGTTGACCAGGGCTTCCCTTCCTAGGTATCAGAGCCTGTGTCTTGTTCTTTAAAAGGAAGCTGCTTTCTCAAAGCCCAGGCTTCTCTTTGCATCTTTCAAAATATAGCATGACTATTTGGGGGCGAAAGTCTTCTTGAAGAATTCTTTAGTCAGATCACCCTTGCAAGAATATTTGTCCTCATCACCTCAAAACAAGAGAGGGAAGACAGAGGACATTTAAAGAAGGAAGCAAGCCAGGCAGGGAAGTGGGGGGACTATGTTTGTATTTTGGCATGCTTTTCCACTTAAGGTTTCAGAGAGTTTGCCACATCCTTACCTTCCCATCTGCGGGTACGGCAGGCTTGGTACCCTCCAGTATCTGCCAGGCTACACATGAGCCAGGATGACAGTTTCCAAGGGGAGGGAGGTATACCATACCACACTTCTACCTGGGGAATCTGTTTCTTCTGTCACTGCTACTTCCTGCTTGTTCCCTTACCAAGGGCCCAGATGCAGTTTCCTGAAGAAGTCCAGATGTTCTGAACTTTTTCGTCCCTTCACTCTGAAGCCACACAAAGCATACCCTATGGTCCAGGCCTTCAGCCGGCATCTCCCTTTTCCACTGGCATCCACACCCCACCAGCACAGATTCTGTGTGTAAACTGGAGTGTCCGTTGTCTTCCATCCCAGGCTTTTGTTTTCTGCATGCTAGCACATCCTGAGATGGTTAAATCCAAGCTCATGTGAAGTAACTGCCTCTGCCATTCAGATAGGGAATGCTTCCTTCTGATGCAGCCTTGTTGGCAGCTCACCAGGTGATCTTCACCAGGCCATTCCAAATGGAGGGTAAAATGTGCACGTACTGTGCGTGTGCTTAATGAAGGCTCACTACAGAGAAACTAGTTTTCCTTGGCATAGTGGAACAAAATGTTCATGTAGTCTCAATTTTTCATTAACATCTCTTTCCAAAACCTATAATTTATCTTTCACTTTTGAACAGGGTATCTAGGTGGGTAAAGCAGGGACATGTTGGGAACTTCATTTCTCAGCTTGGCTATAACACTGGAAACGTTGGTGTCATATGTAAAGAAAAGGTGGACAGTGGAAGAGAAATCAAATTGTCTCCTGATGTGCAGAGATTTTCTGAGTCTTGAAAGAACATTGTCAGCAGTCTTCATTATAATGTTTTGTCTGTTGTGTTTTGAAACAAATGCCCCAAGGCCTAAGGCTAAGAGGCAAAGCAGCCCATTCCTTGGGGAGACGTCTCAGCCCCACCCAGCCTATGTGTCCTTCCATCCAGGTCCCCAGAGCTTCGCATGCTTCAGGAGGAGCAGGAAAATGCTTTATGAGGCAGGCAGGCAAAAGAGGGTCCGATGGCCCCTTACAAGTGGCCAGTCGCAGCATGGATTAACACCAGACAAGAACCCCCAAGAAATCGGGTTCAGACCTATCTTTAAATATCTCCACAGAGAGACTCTTCTTTTAACAAAAGCCAAATAAAATTAACTTCGGGGTTATGACCCTACTTTTCCACGAACAGGAACAAAGGCAGCCCCCTATGTGATTAAGTGCTACCTATGCCAGTAGCCTTTTGCAGTTTTTCCTCTCTGAACCGCACAGAATGTCCTAGCCAGGTCTACCCCAAACAGTGAGGCAGCTGATACCTTCTCCACTGTCCAAAGACCGCTAGGGTGTTTTGTCAGCTGTCGTAGCTATACCCATAGTACATAGATGTACTACATGGAGGAAAAGGTCTGAAAAAAAAATAGAATTCTATTTGCTTTCTGACAGCCATCTTCCTTGAATTTTTTTGGTGTCTTGGATTCCTCCATCTCCATAATTGATTGTGCCTGTGTCATGTACATCCCAGAGACATCACATGACACCAAGAATAACAAATTCACAAATTGTTCTAATCTATCCCAAGGGCCTAGAAAGCATCTCTGAACATAGTTCAAGTTAACTCATTTAGTGGGAACTCCCAGAAAAGACTAGTAGAGTTTATGGTAAGGTCTGGGAGGCCCTCCCCTTCTGGTTTCTTTCCACCCACACAATCCTATCATGCTATGTATTGGAGGGTTAGTATCTTGACCTTCTACATGCAAAAAGAGACTTTATAATAAGCCATGCTACTACTATGTAAATACATTTTTGGGTTTCAAGTTCTTGTTTATGGAGTTTTCAAAGAGCTGGATAGATGAAGTAGAAAGAAGTATTTGAGATTAATGTTTACTTTTATCTGTTTGGTAGTTTGTGTTTGATTGATTGCCCAAGTATTTTGTAATAGGCCTGCTCTTGGACAGCAAAGAAGCATAAATCTGTGTTCTACAGTGTTCTGAATCTGCTTCTTTCCTACGATTAATTTCTGTCAAATTAGTGCTATGATAATTGAGTCAAAAACCTGAAGTTACTGTCTCCTCCCATCTCTATTCCCACTCCCACCCTTCTTTCTTGTTAAGTGGCCTTGGATTCTTGTCTTTGCATATTCTGACTCTCCTCTTTCAAAGGTCTGAAAATACAACCTAGGTTTATAGAAAACAACAACAAAGACTGCCTTCCCCACCAAATAGGTCAAAGTCAGGAAATTACAAGATACAGAATTTTTCCAGAATATCTTTAACCAATACATACAAAATTTATTCCTCAGTAAGAAGATGGGTTTAAACAACAGAGCAATCTGATAAATGAACATCAGAAGAAATGGGATGATTGAGTTCTATGCAGGCTTCACAACTCATTTGTGCCTTCAGCAAGAATGTTGCATCTATACTCTCTCCTTTGTTAAGAAAATTG